TTTTTAAAAAAGTGGGAAAAACGGCAGCTGGAAAGTTTTCCACCCAGGAGCAAAGGTGCTCTGTGCACTTCTTCCAGCTGCCTTCAGGGTTGTCAGGGAAAACCCCTTGAAAGGGAGCTTTTTGTCCCTTCTACGTATCCAGTTCTGAGATGGTTTGTTGCTGGTTTGAATGAATTGGGAATAAAAAACCCCCTCATCCCATGGGATGGGATCTGCAGGTTGGAGGGGGGTGAGGAAGCAGTGCAGCTCTGCAGTGCACTTTGTTTTGTGACAGGAGTGATGTCCCTGCTCCAATGGCCTTTTGTACAGTTCCAATATTCCTCGTTTCTTATCATTAACTTCCCAAGTTCCCAGGTGAATCCATCCTTCTTCTTTATAGTGTTTTATGGGTGACATGAACACACAGGAAGGTGGTGCGTGGCACAAACTGGATGACTGAAAACAGAACCAAAATGATCAGGGAATTCTGTTTTTCTTTTTTTTTGTCCCGTGTCGCTCTCAAACCCAGCAATGCAGTGGCAGTCCAGGATTGCCAAGCTGAGGAAGGCAGTGGAGGATCTCTTCTGTAAAAAGTTTGGTGAGTACAGCACTGCTTTTTTTGTGGCTCTGGATTGCTTCAAGTTCTCTTTCAGTGTTTCCTTTCAACGCCTACATGAACGTGACCTTTGATTTTTATTTATTTTTTTTTTCCCCCCATATATTTTAAAATCCTGGTAGTTGAGTGAGGAAAAAATCATAGAATGGTTGAGGTTGGAAGGGACATTAAAGACCATCCAGATCCAACCCCCCTGCATGGGCAGGGACACCTCCCACCAGCCCAGGCTGCTCCAAGCCCCATCCAACACTGCCAGGGATGGGGCAGCCACAGCTTCTCTGGGCAACCTGGGCCAGTGCCTTCCTGTCCTCATATTGAAGAATTTCTTCCTGATGTCTAAATCTCCCCTCTTCCAGTTTTAATCCATCCCCCCTTGTCCTCTTCCTGCCCTTGTCCCAAGTCCCTCCCCAGCTTTCCTGGAGCCCCTTCAGGCACTGGAAGCTGCTCTCAGGTCTCCCTGGAGCCTTCACTTCTCCAGGCTGAACACCCCAACTCTCTCAGCCTTTACCTCATACAAGGTAAATTCATAGTTAAAAAATATTATAGCTCTTACATGTACAGCTGTTCTGATTGCTCTGAATTCCTTCCAATTTGTTGTTGTTTTTTTTCCTTTGACAGTGAATAAAATAACTTTTTACTTATTCACATCTATTGCAGTATCATTAAAATCAGTAGTAGAACATTTCTGGGTGAATTTTTATGTTGTTTTTTTTTTCCTTTGACAGTGAATAAAACAACTTTTTACTTATTCACATCAATTGCAGTATCATTAAAATCAATAGTAGAACATTTCTGGGTGAATTTTTATGTTATCTCCAATATTAAAAAAAAAACACTGAATAGGAGCAAGAATAAAGTGTTCCATGATGCTTTATAATAGATGTAAGACTTTGTATAAAAGCACTGCTTTTATGCCCCAGTAATGTTTAGTTTGAAATTGTGACTGCCCCCCAGCAACATGGTACAATGTGGTGCAGTTTTATGGTTTTGATGTGCTCAGGCTTGGTTTGGTTTAGATATCCTGCATTTTCCTGGTAAAGATTGGTGACAAAACCATCCAGTTACTGGATGTATTTATTTCATTTTAACAGCTGAGGCCTTGGGGAGCACTGAGCCAAAAGCTATTCCATACCAGAAATTTGAGGCCCACCCTGCTGACCTGTATGTTGAAGGGCTGCCAGAGAACACCCCCTTTAGGAGTCCCTCTTGGTATGGAATCCCTCGCCTTGAAAAAATCATTAAAATGGGCAAGAAGATAAAATTTGTCATCAAAAGGTAAGTGTTTGTTTTAATGGCTAAGTATGTTGTGTTGTGGTGTGTTGTTTTCTTTTTGAAGAAAGAGGCCAAACATCCTTTGTGTGATCAAACACATGGTTTCAGTACATCATGAGGTAATTTGGTCTCTAGTTATCAAATAAGCAGATTAAATATTCTCCAATTACAAAGTGAGAATTTGGAATCCAGACAAGTCCTCCCAAATATCCTTGTAGCCTGTTCACAAGTGTGAAACAGATAATAGAAAAACACAAACTTTTCAATTAATGTAATGATAAGTAGAAGGATTTAAATCCTGTCAAGAATGGGCAGATTGTTTGTTTTCTGGTTGCAGGCCAGAGCTGCTGACTGCAACTGAAGCTACTCAGTCCAACCCAAACACCCCAGGTAAGACAGGTCCTGGCTCCAAGTGGGAATGGAAAGGCTTGGTGGGAAAGCACATTTGGAGCAATGAAACACTTTTCCAGAAGTAACTTCTGTTCACATCTCCTGTGATGTGTGTTGATGTGCTCTTCATGAGGTCTGAAGAGAACGAATAGAACTTGGTGAGCACGTGTATCTCTCTGGATTGTGGTGCAGTCCAGCTGTCCCTAAATGACTGGGATGGATCCACCTTCACAGCCCAGAAGAGCTGGAGTGGTTGGCCTGGTCTGAACCAAAACTCTGCAACCCCGTAGCATTTCCCAGCTGACTCTGCTGGGCGTTTTTCAGGCCTCTGTTTGTTAGGAATTGTAATGACTGCTTGTCAGTGTGAAGTGCCTCAAGTACAAGAAAAAAATCCAGGTTGTTTTTTATTTCCTGAGGCAGCTGGATGCTCTAAATTGGTGTATCAACACTTGGTGCAGAAAGTGTACAATCCAGAATGTGACCTTGCTAGTAGCAGTAGCACAAACCAACCCTCAGAGCTTGCCAGGTTCTTCCCCCAGACATGATTCCTAAAGCTGCAGCTTTAGGAAATAATTGTGTTGTGTTCTCTGCATACACAAAACCCAAAAGAATATGAATGAATGTAATCAGTAGTTGTCTTATGTCATCACAAGGTTTATGGATTTTGTTTGGATTTTAGGAAAAGGCTCATACTCAGCAGGATGGTAACTTGGTAGAAAGTCTGTCCAATGTGGAGCAGAAGTAAAAGGCAGCATTGATTTGTTGGTTTTGTTGCCAAAACCCCCAACTTTGTAAGAGCCAGTAGAATAATTCCTTCCTGCATCTGAAGGCTGTGAAGTACAAGTGTTCCTGCTTGCAGCAATGTTTGAAATTTAACTACATTTAAACAGATTTTCCATTACATAGAGGGAAGTACAAGTGTCATTTACTGCCATGAATAACTGTTACTCACTGTGTCCACGTCTACTCAGATGTGATGGTGTTGTTAGTCCACAAGTTCTGGTGTTGCAAGAATCGTGTCTGAATGAACCTCTTTCTCTAGAGTTGGGTAACACACTGACATGGTGTATCCATTCCTGGTTTTCAGTCAAAGAAGATTGGAATGTCAGGATCACAAAGCTCAGAAAGCAAGTAGAAAACATATTTAATATGAAGTTTGGTAAGTTCCATGTTAAATGAACTGTCTTACAATGCTGCTGTGTTTTAGAACTTGTCTGTAAACAGTTTTAAATTTCACTGTGCTTATTTAAACATCAGAAGTGTGCTAGGACAGGTGGATATTTTGACTCCTCTTCTGACACTTGGTGTGATTCTTGAGCTGCCCTACAAAGGGACAGGAGTTGGACTCCATGATCCTGATGGGTCCCTTCCAACTCAGGATATGGAATGATTCTGTGATGATAGAATGGAGCTGACATAAGTGACTTTTAAACATCCTCAGCCATACCTCTTCCAGTTGTGATAGAGATATTTACACAAAAAGCTTAGCATGAAAAGTCTCAGAAGAAAATATTGAGCACTAGGTTGACAAACTCCCCATTTGCAGTAATTCTACAGAAATAAAGGAAAATATCTTTAAATCTTTCTCTTGTTTGTTTGTTGTGTTTTGTCATTTTGAATTACAGAGCTTCTGTAAGCCAAGCTTTTTAAACTCACTCGAGATAAAATACATTCAAATGTCTAAACTGTCATGAAATCTTTCTTTTCAGCCCAATCTCTGGGGCTTTCAGAGGCAGTGAAAGTTCCCTATCCTGTATTTGAGTCAAACCCTGAGTACTTGTACGTCAAAGGTTTGCCAGAAGGAATCCCCTTCAGGAGTCCCACCTGGTTTGGAATTCCACGCCTGGAAAGAATTATCAGTGAGAGTGGCAAAATCAAATTTGTTGTTGAAAAGTATGTTTGTAATTCAGTTATTTTTACTCCTAATTTTGAAGTGATCTGGTTTTCTTCCCAGCAGGTTTTTTAGGCTTTAGATGCTACTTGAGTTCTGTTTCTGTGCAACAGAAAGAACACTTTGCACCCATGTTTTATCTCATAAAAGGATATTAACTTTATAGAGATATATAAATTAAATTTATAGAGATATATAAAATGCATCAAGGATCTAAGGGAAAAAATGGTCTTGTACCTGAATGCTTTTTTCCTTATTTTTATTTATTTTTTTGCTTGAAATAATCTTCCCTCCAAAAAAAATAAATAAATTGAAAGTGTATCTTTGTTTTCAAACATTTTGTAATTCTAGCAGATAAAGAGCCATCCATGCTTCTAGAGGAATTTGTTTTATAGAGAACTGCTGTTCTGTGAATTTGAACTCAACTGAATTCCAAGCAACTTGTAATATTTTGCTGTAGTTTTTTCTTGCATATAGAATTGATTGGGTTTTATTCTTTTCAACTTCTAGGCCTGAGCTGGTCATTTCCCATTTGCCTCCAGAACTGGCTAGTAAAATAAAAACTAAAGGTAAATAATTAAGAATTATCTGCTGCCATCAGTTCCTAGTATTTGCTTCCTGCAGACTGAGGTGTATTTGTGGCTGAAAAAGAGGAGTGTTGCTAACAAAAAGCATTTCTTAAGATGAGCTGGTATAGAAACCTCCAAATCTGCCATTTGAAAATGTTACTCAAAACATAAATTTATCTTTTTTTTTCTACTTATGGCTATTCCTGTACAGAAAATGGAATTTATCCAATTTCTACAACTTATATTTGGTTATTAATGGCTTAAAACATATTTCAGTTCACAAATAAAAGTTAAAAAATAACAATGAAGTTTCTTAAGAAAAGAATGAAAGGGAAAGTTACACAGAATTGTCAGGGTTCAAAGGGACCTCTAGAGATCATCTAGTCCAACTCTCCTGATAAAGCAGGATGGCCTGGAGCACCTTCCACAGGACTGGAGTATCTCCAGAGAAGGAGACTCCACAGCCCCCCTGGGCAGCCTGTCCCAGGGCTCTGTCACCCTCAGAGTAAAGAAGTTTTTTCTCATATTTAAGTGGAACTTCCCATGTTCCAGCTTGTGTCCGTTGCCTGTCGTTCTGACACTGGGCACTACTGAGCAGAGTCTGGCTCCATCTTCCTTGCACCCACCCTGAGATACTTCCAGGCATTAAAGCCTACTCGTCTCCAGGCTGAACAGTCCCAGCTCTCTCAGCCTTTCCTCATCAGAGAGATGCTCCAACCCTCCAGTCATCTTTGTTGCCCTCCCCTGGACTCTCCAGCAGTTCTCTTGAACTGGGGAGCCCAGAACTGGCTGAAGTTCTCCAGTCTTTTAATTTGTCTATTAAAAAATTCAGAAGTTAATAGTTTTGTTATTTAGATAATAAAAAGCAGGAAGGCTGCTCCTCACACTTAGAACCAATGAAGTCTTCTGTTCTGAATTAGTGAAGATTCAGGTGTGGTCCCTGCCTGGTTCAGGAGTAGAATCCCTGCTTTTTAAGGCTGTGAGTGTCTCTGTATCATTCAGATGTTACAGAGCAGCCTGTGCTTACTAGCTTAGTACAGATCCAAGTGATTCAGTCTGGTGGAATTTTTGGAATACAGTTGGTTCTTGTCATGAGCTGTGCAGGATACACATGATAGAGGGTTTGGGCACTACAGCTTGTGTTGTGTTGTCTTCCAGCAACGAGCCCGAAGCGTTTAAGGTCACGAAATCCTGCAGGGCATTCAAAGGTTCCAGAGACTGTTCAAGAAGGTTTGGAAGAAATACCACTAAATATTCTAATACTTCTCTTCTATTCTTCTACTGTTTTCTTCTGTTCTTCCCAGTTTTCATAGCCCTAATACATTTATATATGCACCTTATGTACCAAATACAGTTTCATTTCAGCACTCCAGATGTGTTCCACTACAGAAACAGTTTAATTTTTCATTTCTGAGTAAGACTGGTTTCTGTGCAGGTGACAGTTATGTAAATGTTGAAATTTAACAGCTTCCTTGGGCCTTATATTCCAATATTGTCCTGAGCAGAGAAATGACAGATATGAGCAGTAGTATCAAATGCTTAAATACAACACTAGAACAACTTCTAAGGTGTTTTTTCACTCTACTCTTAATTTAGAAGTTGTTTTTTCTAGTAATTGAGTTTGACAAGTTTTTCTTTTGGTGTGATGGCTTGATTCTGCTCCCTACATGTGTGTATGTAATGTCTTCTTACAGGTTCTAATAAATCACAAAAAAAAGATGATCAAACTAGTCTTCAAACCAACGGGTCCAATAGCTGTTTGAAAACACGAGGAAGAGAGTTTTCTTTTGGTAAGCACTGTGGAAATGAGTATGCATACATTCTGTTAATATTGGTATTGAAAATTCTGGCAATTGCATATCAGATATTTTGAATTTGAGTTTTATCCTGCAGTTAGTGAATGACTGAAATGCCTGTTTTCATGTACGTTCAGATCTTCATCATGTAGAATGAATATAAGATACTGGTTTGGGATGACTGCTCCTTTGGGCTTGGGCTTCCTGTTCACAGTTGTGTACAGTTTTCTTGAACTTGCTGGTTCTTGTTAGACCTAGGGTTTTTTTTGTTAAGTTTTAGTCTGCAACTCAGACTTTCAACTGAGTTTTTAGTTTTGTACACCAACTAGGGACCACTTATTGCAGCCACAAGTATACCAGTTTAGGAATTGCTGCTGATCCCTGTCAGAAACAAAAGGGCTGGTTAGGTGATAATTTAATCTTACTGACTGAAATTGAAATGATAAGCTTGTAGTTCTCAAAGAGCAAAGCATGTGTCTCTTCCTATGTCACTGAACACAGGAAGAACATTCTGCCACTATTTTGGGTGCTGGTTCAAATGACTAAATTGGATTCATTTCCATTTTAATCATCCTTGCTTTTAGTTACCATTATTTATCAAAGGTTTAGGAAGCTGAGGAGTGATGTGGATATAGGTTTAGACTGCAGCAGAATGTTTCAGTGCCATTTGCAGCATGAAAGCCATTTTGCACATTTTACTGCCATATAGAGCACCAGTTATCAAACATAATGATTTATTAAACATTTATTAAAATGACTGTGTGAGTGTTGGTTTAATCCTTCCAATTTCTTTCTGGCAGAGGCATGGAATGCCAAAATTACTGACTTAAAGGAGAAAGTAGAAAATCTTTTCAATGAAAAATGTGGTACGTGATTGATTCTTTCTTACTGAGATGTCTTTCTTATGAACATGTACTTAGACTTACCAGAGGGATGTTTACATGTTTATGCCAAGAGTCCTGATGCCCTTGTGTACTCCAGGCAGCCTCTCATTTGAGTTCATTCTCACGTAGGTTGCTTGCAATTCTGTGTCATTTATTTGGGTTTGGAAATGGAGAGGTTGTGGTTGGATTACTACTTCTTTAATCACCCAGAGTCATCATGAGTCCACATCCTGGCACATGTCTTTAAGCTTTCTTTCCTCTGCTTAGGAAAGGGGCTTCAGGCTCTGCATGGCTCCATGTGTTACGGGTGGTACCTGGAGAGATGTGCTCCATTGTATCCCAGCACTGCTGCTAGTGCAGGCTGTTTGGAAGCCAGTGACTTTCACAAGGGATGGCTGAGTGCAGCTCTTGGAACAAGAGCACTCATCTGACCTGCCCTTGGTGCTTTTCTCTAGCAGAGCCAGAACACACTGGGACAAAGGGGAGTACAAAGGGGATACCTTCTATGCTGACCGAGCCAGTGGCACGAGCTGGCTTAAGTTTCAACTGCAAATTACTGATTTTCAAGTTCAAATTATGATCAGGTTTACTGCAGCAGAATTGTCACACGATCACAGTGGTCAGGGTTGGAAGGGAGATCATCTAGTCCAACCCCCTGCTAGAGCAGGAATCCCCTAGAGCAGGAATCCCCTAGAGCAGATCCCACAGGAACATGTCCGTGTGAGTTTGGAATGTCTCCAGGGATGGACACTCCACAACCCCCCTGGGCAGCCTGTCCCAGGGCTCTGTTACCCTCAGAGTAAAGAAGTGTTTTCTCATATTCAGTTTAAATCTCCTGTGTACCAGTTTGTGCCCATTGCCCCTTGTCCTGTCACTGCTCACTCCTGAGCAGAGTCTGGCCCATCCTCCTGACACCCCCTGTAGATACTAAACAGCATTAATGAGATCCCCCCTCTTTTCTCCAAGCTGAACAGCCCCAGCTCAGGCTTTCCTCACAGACAGATGCTCCAGCCTCCTCATTCAGTCACCCTTCCCTCCTACTCAAATCTATCACCCAAAAAGCCCAAACCTGCTGCTTCCAATCCATCATATAGGTGCCAGCTATGACATACTGTTCATACCTGAGGTTTTCCTTTTGAGAAGACACCTGTTACCCAGCTGGGAGCTCATTTGCTCTGTTGCTTTTCAGGGCAAGCTCTGGGGTTGAGTAAACCAGTGTCAGTGCCCTTTGCATTGTTTGAATCCTCCCCGGATGTTTTCTACGTGGAAGGACTTCCCGAAGGCGTCCCCTTCCGCCGGCCTTCGACTTTTGGAATCCCAAGACTAGAGAAGATCCTGAGAAACAAGTCAAAGATCAAGTTCGTTATTAAAAAGTAAGACCTCCCGGCTGTGGTTGATCGTCCCTTCTGTGAGACTTGGAAATGCAGAGCAAAAAAAAATGAGATGGTGTTGCTGAGTTGCTGAACTGCTTCAGAAAATACACGTGGAGATAAGTTTAGTAAATGAGGAAATGGTCAGAAAGCTCTTGAAGAGCTGCAGCAAGATTTGTTAACCTCTTTGTTCTAAAAGACTCTCTTAACCTCTTTGTTCCAAAAGACTCTCACAGCCTGTTTTTGAGGAAGGGCAAGTCCAGGTTTCTTTGCTCATTTCAGTTATCCCATCACTGGGTGAGTTCCTACTGTGTGGAGTCCTTCTGGGTTGCTCATAAAACTTGCTGGCAGTGTAACTGAGAGCTGAGAAGTGGAGATTCACATACTGGGGGGTGGAAGAATTTATTTCTCTAGTCTAGAATAGATTTAGATACCCACGTGCTAGTGTGGACACAGAGGGGTTGTGGAGCCTCTCAGTTGTTGTGTCCTTGGCTGTCTGTTTGGCTGAGAGGGTATCCATTCCTGCCTTTAATAAATGAATATTAGAATATTGCATTTTCTTTAATATTTATAACTGTAATTTTTTTAATTGCACATGAATTGTTCAATCTGTTTGCAGCCGTGAGATGTTTGAGGCAGCTATTAAGGGAAATTCTCCTGAAGCCCCCCAAAGTAAGTTTTACAACTGCTTAACATTCTGGGTAAGCCTCTTTCAAGGATTAAACACAAATCAGGAAAGCTGTGTGGTGTTAAAAAATTCCTGAAAGGTTCATTCTGCATCGTGCTTGATCTGTTTGCTTGTTAGTTTCTAAGGTGGGAAAAGCACTTGCCAGGTACAGTTTTCAGTAAAGCTTTAGCAGGGAGTATTAATTTTTTTTTGTTACCCACAAGATCCTGCCTCTAATACATTCTCTTATCAAAATGTAACAAGTAATGAATGGTTCACAGAAATAATTCAGGTCTAGAGATAATTTATTTTCTCCAGGTATAACTGTGAGGGATTTCTTTTGTGAGTGCACTTAGTGGACACTTGGATCAGTAGGTGTTATTGAATTAACTGCATGTTCCATGGTTTTCCTGTTAATAAAAATACCCAAATGCATGTTCCACCTCCTCTTTTTCTTGTTCTTAATAATCTTTTTATTAAACCAGCT